TTTAAGTTTTACCCTTCGGTGGTGAATACTTTACCGTCCGCTTGGTCCGAACGAAGACGCATTACGTGATATGAACGTTTTTTAGGTTTTTTTTTTTTTTGTCAATATTGTCTTAAAAACCTGGGTTACAAATCGCATCAATATTGCCCGGTTGTCAAGTTCGTTACTATATGTGCATGACGACGTAGCAGAACATTCCAAACGAATTTTTTTTTCAGTGAAAACACGCTAATTCATTTATACCTAAATACAAACAATTTGTTTAACCGTATAAAATGAATGTGAACATATTTTATGGCGTAAGATTTCAGTTACTTGCAGATGAACAGTTGTAGAATGGTATAGGCAGCAGACAACAGTTTTTTGCAGTACAGTGAAAACACGCTGATTCAATTAGGCCAAATTTATAAACAACGTTGGAAATCTCACCAGTATTCTAGACAAATTTTGTGCTGTAGTTAAATAGGTGTGTGTCTTATACTGTTTCTTTGTATATCATACGATGATGGGTTGTTATATTTTGAAAATTAATTAATTTCTAAATCGTATTTGTTATTTATTCTTAAAATAAGACTAATATCTTCAATGAAGTCGAAGTGTTCACGAAATCTGTCACCTAACCTGCATATAGTTGCTCCAATATAAATTAGTAGCACCTGATACAGCAAATGCAATAAATAATACACTCTGATGTTCAGATGAATTTGCCTTTTACGCGAAATGTAAATGTAGTATTGGAGAAAGTCGATAAAATAGTGACTTTATCACAAGTGAGACAAAAAGTTCGTTCACATTGTTCACTTTCGTTGCCTAGAGCAGATGAACGCACTTCAGTTTGCAATTTAAAATGTACCAAAGTCTTTCAAATTCGTATGAAAGTAATTATGAGTAGGGTAGTAAACACGTTATTATAAGTGTGGTCTCTCGCCGGTAAAGTAAAGTAACTTTAGACAGTTCTACTAATCTGTCATTTTAAAGGATAGTGTATAAGGACTAAAGAAATTGTCAGTATGGATTTTGTCACTAAAGTGGAGACATTCGGCTTGTGATAAACTGAATGTGTCAAGTTTAGCTTTATCGATGATATTATCAGGATCTTTCTGTTGTTTAAAATAATTAGTCATGTCATTTACTTTAAAACTGTCAGAGCATAGATATCTTAAACCTAGGGGTTGCCCATCTATAGTTTGCTTGGTTTCAGGGTGATGAAAAGAACTGAGGCTTAAATACAAATTGATATAAGTAGCTCCGTAATGTACAATAGTTAGTGTAGGTGTGGAAACCTCAATAGTAATTATAAAAAAGTCAGCATTATGACAAGAAATCTAGGAAGTAGATTTTAAGTGATGGATAGTAATCAATTTTTGACATACATTGATTTTTTTTCTTTCTGTTCATTTAGAAAAAGATATAGAATATTAACTTACCTAAACAAAATAGGGAGTTTGTGAGGGAAAGTACTGTAACTTTGTTCTTCTACATAATGAACAAAAGGTTTACATGGGATGACCGATTCTTGTTCCAATGACAATTCTTTGTAACTGTTGATATGTTTGTCTATAAAAGTCAAACGTATTAAAAATCGGTACCAAGTCGTTTGCTGAAGTATAGGGTCTGTTGGGAGATGTAGGTGATTCTTTTGTTTATAGAATGTTTAAGTGCGATGTTGTGTTATAACAGTGTATAGATAGTGAAAATGTAATCAATGATGATAGCAGAGTCAAACGTTTTGAAAAATTAAGAATATGGGCATACCTTCAATGTATGCAGGGAATGTGTCTACTACAGGTTGAAAGTACTTGTTACTTCTCGAACCTTCATGAAGTGTCGGGAGACTACTAGATTGGGGTAGTCTTGTACATATAAGACTGGCCAAGAAACAACGTAAGGACATGTGTAATTGAACGGCGGAGAAAGAATATTGTTGAGCACGTGAGACGTTCGTTGTGAATTATAGCATTTGTTATAGCGCGACTGTTAAAATTAAGTGTATCGCAAAGTTGTATTCAGAAAGAATAAACCAATTTTATTTAAGAAAGGTCTTGTATCGGTAAAATTTCTTCGGAAAGAATTTTTACGGAAAATTAACTAACGAACGGAGACGTAACAAATTGGTGTCAGAGAGTGGGATAGAAAATAAAAATAAAAAAGAAGAAAATGGAAACGAAAAGCGGCAAATCAAACTACAGCTTAGCAGACTTGATGGCAGCAATACGAGAGCAGCAAAAGAAACAAGAAGAACGAGAAAAGAAATTACAACAGTTGTCGGAGGAAAAAGAAAAGAAACAAGAAGAGAGATTACAACAGCTATTGGAGGAGAAAGAAAATAAACAAGAAGAGAGATTACAACAGCTATTAGAGGAGAAAGAACATAAGCAAGAAGAGAGACTACAACAGTGGCAAGAAGTACAAATGGAAAACATTAGTAAATTTAAAAGCGAATTAGATACATTAAAGAATGATTTATTGTCTTTTACACAAGGAGGATACATTAACCATCGACTTAACCAGCCCCTTCCTTAGTATTGTTCGTCCCGAACAATAGCCACTTACATTAAACCAATAGAAAATTAACAATAACTTAATTGATTGTACAGAATTTACAAACACAAAATTAAAATTCAACAAAGTCTCTTAATTTTATGGAACGTATCTTCTTCCATACTGGTCTCCATCTCGTGGGCTTCTGCTTCACGTGGGGTTCATTTGCTCCATCAGGAAATGTCCTATTATCGGTAACAGTCACAT